AATATGCTCTTACTTTCAGGGAAGCTTTGATATATGTGCCCCATACTGCTTCCTTTTCTATTGTTACTCCATGTTCTTCTACCGTCGACCATTTTTATGCTTATTTGCACACTTATCGTTAATATCTTAGTTGGCATCAATTGGTGCCTCCTGTGGTTCTTAGCCACAATTAGTCAAAATGATAACCAAAATCAATTTGATCGATTTCTTCAGAACTCACGCATTTGTGAAGAGCTAGTCTTTATCCTCATTTACATGATTGTGCTTTCCCTGACGTACGTGGAAGTTCAACATTTTCTATCATTTTTTATTGATATTTATTTTTCTTTGGAATTCATCAGAAACTAGAACCATTCAATTAATGTTTACTAGGAGCGAACTATGCAAGAAATATGCTGCCTTAATGTATTGTAATTTGCTTTAAATATCATATTCGATTTTCCATGCCCATTCATTCTATTACGTTTTATCTTATCATCCCTAAGATCGATTTCTTTATTCTTTTCATTCTATCCAGGCTGATATTAGCCTTCAAGATTGTCTTCCTAGTCTTCTCAAGTGCCTCAGGGATGATCATGGCCTCTGGTCGTCTGAGCCTGTCGCGAATACATTTCTAGCCCAAGCTTCGCGACTGGAGACTAGCTTCTTCAATTCGCGCAGCAGGGGCATTGTACCTCCTAGCCAGCTTTACCTGGTTGAAGCATTACCACAGGCATATTCAGGCCTTGTCTTGATCGCTACATCCTGGAGATACTCCATTGCCGCCCTGAAATACTATAAAAAGGCATCTTTAACTAAGGTAACTTCTAGTTAATTATGAATCCTTGCTCAAAAAGCACTTTTCATAATTTCTTTAACTATTTCACTTATTAATATTCCTTTAGTAAGATATTATTTTTTGAATAATTGTCAGTCTTGAAAATAATATTCTTTGCTAAGAGTGATTATTATTACTTTTGAGTTATAAATTTTCGATTAGAGTCATCTCGAAATGCAGATCTTATAAATTTGTTGTTTTCAAGTTTCGCGAGATTTTTCTTCCCTTATGTTGGCATAATTGATCATATCATCACAGAATAAGCGGTTGATATTTTATCCATTCTGTGGTAGGCATCTTTATACCAGATAATCATTCATAGAATGGCTTCATGTAACCGAAAAATCATTGCAATATCTTGCCAGCATTCCCTAGAATTTTCTGTCTACCTGATATGATTCTTTGTTATTGTGACTTTCATTTCGTACGAAAATGCGTGAAGGAGAGATTCGTACATCAATCTCACCGCAAGGCGACGGCTGGTTTCCGTTCTAAAATCGTTTGACTTTACGACGTTTTAGTGATGCAGTCCACTGGATACTATGACTCGTTTCAGGTGGAAACGGGCTGGGCTAATGTACGTCATATTACGGACATCGTCAGAGCTTAAACTCATTCTTGCAATAGCCTTAAGGCAATATTGAATCAAGGAGACTTTCCTATTCTATACTACATGTTATATATACTCTTGACTAAAAACAAAACGATATAAATATATAGATATAGATATATCTTCTTAGAATGTCGTAATGACGCGTATATTAGGATATGACAAATAGCAAAATAATCCATATATCCAATAAAAACGTTGGGGTTAGCTATACTTCTCTCCTTAAATTTTACCACTGTTATTCTTCAAAGTAGGAACCAAAGAAGATTCCATTGCAAGTCTTTGTCATGTATTGGCAAGGATGAA